CCCCAAAACCCCAAAACCCCAAAACCCCAAGTGATCAAGTTATCTATATCATGTTTATAAAATTATATTTTACATATAAATGAAGAATAAAAGGTAAGCTTTTTAGACATTTTTACCAATTTTTTTTAATTTGGGGCTGAAATTAACATGTGGGATACTAGACCGTTATAGATCGAGCTCAGCAAGTAGAACATCTAATAAGATCATACTTCCACCTATTAATAAGAATGAATCTGACAGAAATGATTCTTTAAAGCTTATCATATCTGGGAATTGTAACCTTGGTTCTAAGCTTACAAACACTTATGGTAAGAATCCTGTCTACATACTTGAATATGATGTTTAATGACTCTCTGATGCTGTGTTAGATCATAAATAAGCTCAGGAGTAGAATCAATGGGATCATGGATGAAATTTCAAAAGAAATTGAAAAGAAGAAAACAAGGAATTCAAACGTAAGTCTTTTCACAAAGTGATATAAGGATATATGAAGAAAGTCTACCCTGATAAATTCAAATGTGGGAATATCGAATTTAGAGAGAAATAAGACTCCAAGTAGCAGTAGAAAATCAATAAGGAATAATTCTGAATCAAGCCAAAGCTATAACCCTCTATCTATTGATGGAGAGATTAAGAGTAAGATAATCTTTATCAATTCTTTAGAGAAGATCATCAGGAGAAGGAAATAATGGCTTCAGTTCTCCTTACTCCTTCCATATTCTCATCACATTTATGTTTTGACTCATCGAATTTAGCACTTTTTGTAGCGTATTGAGCCCCTACATGATTAGTGAATTCCCTTTGGTAGTTGGCATAATTCTTATTGCTGCAATATCAACAACTTATATGGTGATATTCGCTCTGATTTTGATCAGCATGTCAAGAGATCCAACTGATCCGCTCTCAATGGAAACTAAATGCAGGGTATTGTGTTCTGATTAACTCTGTATAGTAATGTCTTCATTAGGATTAGCCGAATTCTAAATTTAAACGTTCTTTTTTGTACGAATTATTTTGTAAAAAGAGCCTCATAAATAATCCCTTGCAAATATTTGATACTCAGGATGACTAAGTTGTTGCCTAAATTCAATAAGCAGCGAAGATCTTTCATGCAGCAGAAGGTCATCAATGCTATTTTTGGTTTAATTACTCCTCATATATAGCCTTGATTCCTTACCAGAAGGAATAGAATTTCAGTGATTATACTGAGATGCATATGTCGGGTTCAGTACAAAGCACTGTAGAGACTGAAACAGATGAGTTAAGGATTTTGACCACCACTGCAAGTGGTTGAACAACTGAATTGGGTACAACAACTACTCATACTTCTTCTATCTAATTGGCCTCTCCACCATTTCTGGGTACTGAATCTTAGCTCTGTGCATAACATGTTTGGTCAGAATTAGCTCGATGTCATACACAAAAGGTATTATTGTTTTACAGGTTTATCTATGAGTCTTTATGTTATTCAAGACTGTAATCACTGGGCTTCTGACTGTTTTATTCATGTTTCATATCTACATTAAATGTAAGGGGACTACTACTTTCAACGTTTTGAAGAAGAAGAAAATCGTACTTCCGAGTAAAGAAAAATCTGTCTCTGAGGAAGAAGTTCAGAATAAAAGGATTATCAGCGACCAATCAGCCCTTCCTCTACAAGTTCCTGATGAAGAAGACAATGTCCATCGTAAGTGTGCTAACAAGGAAGATATAGGGACTCATCATATCCGTGAGAGTAAGATCATCAGCCCAAAGGATATATTTGAGGGCTACAATACTTCTAAGATGACAGGTAAGATTTCAAGAGATTGTAGAACGGAAAATGGACCCAAGAGACATCAGAAAAATGTCAAGTCAAGATAGAATTAGGTAGATAAATAAGGTGAATTATAGTAATTATAATAACGAAGAGGAGAAGAATAACGATAGAACAAAATTTGATATGAGTGGGGTTAATTATCGTCTAGATTTATAACTAAGAGCATATCTATTTTCAATATGATAGACTGAACTTGGGGTTTTGGGGTTTTGGGGTTTTGGGGTTTTGGGG